GTTTAAGGTCCTTTCCAGCTTTAAATCTATGATTCTGTAATACTTTGAATTTCACTCCAAAAGATGAAGGAGCTAAGGAGGATATTGCTATTCTGACCTGATTCTCAACGATAAAAAAGAAAGAACACAGGCTTTGGAGTCAAAGGATTGGCCTCTAGATTCCATCTTTGATACTCTACCACCTGTGTGACCTTGGACAAGTCAATTTATTGAGAGTTGCCAGTTTTTTCAGTTGTAAAACGAGTGGGTTAGACTAAATGTCTTCTGAGGCTCCCTCCAGTTCTAGAGCTGTGGTGCTATGAGTTGTATTGCCGAAGGAGAAATGATGAGGACCTTGGAGGAAAGTGACCACTGTATCTTAGAATTTTTGGTAAAGAATGAAAGAAAAGCTGGGCATAGTCTAACCAGCACCTTTTGTTTTTGGAAATTTTTAATTGTTTGGAGAAACCACAGGGTAGGATCCCATAGCCCACAATTCTACAGAGAAAGTTAGTCCAAAGACGGATTGGAAGCCTTCAAGGATGAGATTCTAAATACACACACACACATACACACACACACACACACACACACACACGAGGAGAAAAAAAAGGACATTGTTTAAAGTATTTTATCCATATACACAGGGAGCTTATCTATAAACTTAGATTTTATTTTAATTTTTTTGGGGGGCTAGGCAGTGGGGTTAAGTGACTTGCCCAGGGTCACACAGCTAGAACGTGTTATGAGGCCAGATTTGAACTCATATCCTCTGGAATCCAGGATCAGTGCTCTATCCACTACTCCACCTAGCCACCCTATGAACTTAGATTTTAAAATGACAGAGCGAAGATAGACCAAGACCAGATAACAAGGTAAATACAAAAGTGTGGCATGGTCCTGCAAAAACAGACAGGGTACTAAAGTACAGAATGAACTGATGCCATTGAGGAAATTTAAGGACAACAAAAAGCTCTTGGGGGGTAGTAGAGAGAAGTGCAGTCAGTGGAGTTAGCTTTGGAGGGAAAAGAGGAGTATCATTTGAAAAGATTGGACTGTTGCTTGCAATAGATGGGATGATGGCATTTTCTCTGGTTATTCTTCATCCCTGGAATGCGCCATCCCTTCGTCTCTGCCTGGCCTTCTTCAAGTCCCTCTTAAAATCCCACCTTCTACTGGAAGCCTTTCCCAACACCTCTTAATTCTAGTGCCTTCCCTCGTGATTATTTTTTCCTCTTTATTTTGGATAAAACTTGTTTGTACATATTTATTTTGTTTGTTGTCTCTGCCCATAGACTGTGAACACCTTGAGGGCCAGGACTATCTTTTGCTTCTTTAGTACCTGGCTCATGTAGGTATTTATTAATGAGTGTTGGTTGATCGATTGATGGTCACAGACAATGGAGAAAAGATAGAATTACTCAACAGTTATTTGCAAGAACAATGACCTCTGCTGGATAGTAAAAGATAGAAAAACTTGAGACCCAAGTTGAGTAGGGAAATAGAGTCCCTTGCTTCCCTTGATGAGTTCAGGTCATCAAATCTTGATCAACTATATCTGAGGGGACTGAAAAAATAGGTAGATGTTGTTGCTTAGAATGGTACAGTGGAGGGAATGCAGGATTAAGAGTTTGAGGACCTGGTTCAAATCCCAGATTGCCAGCTTTAACTCTATGATCCTCTGATCTTTGAAAGATTCTGGCGAATGGGTGAGATGCTACAAGATGGAAGAAGGGTAAATTTATTTTCACGAAAGAGAAGAGAGTAGAGAGTATCTTAGCTATCAGCTAGTGAGCTCGAGTTTGATTCCTGGTAAAATTCGATGTCATAAATTCAATTTAAGCATAAAATAGGGTTAGGTAAGTTTTAAGGTAACATATATACATCGTAACAGGAGTCTTTGGTTCCCTTAGCCAATATCTTGATAGTAATGGGAATTTTAGGCACTTTTCGTAGAGACAGTGGAGGAGCATGCTATCCCAAAGGCAAACTTTGGGCGACTTCATGCAGAATTGAAATTACTGACTTGTGTGCTCGGTCTAACATCATCCCTAAGAAATAAACCTTACAAATAATAGCATTATCACTGTAGTGGAAAACTGGAGAATACAGATGAATGTGTATATATGTGTACACACACACACACACACACACACACACACACACACACACACACACACACACACACATTCATCTGTATTCTCCAGTTTCTAACACTAACAGTATTGCCATATTATAATACTACTCTATCTTATCACTTGTTGAGCTGTCTTCATATAATTTATATTACATTCAAATGGCCCTTCTTACTATCTCCTAAACTTGAAATTCCATCTTCCTTCTCTGAATTTTGCTCAGGCTATGCCCCATGACCAAAATGTACTTCCTGCTCCTCACTGCCTCTTACACTCTCTACTTTTCCTCTAGGCACTACCTTTTACAGTAAGCCTTTCCTGATCTCCCTGATTGTTAGTGCCCTCTTCCCTTCTCAGATAATCTTGTATTTACTTATCTGTGTGGCTGTTACATTCTTGCCAGTTCTTGGGCAAGGACTGTTTGTTGCTGTTTTTATATCTCTAGCACATAGCTATGGAGTATTGTAGATACTTTAAAAAGCTTGTTGAATTGAATTGAACAGAATGTTAGCAGACTTAGAGAAAAGCAACAGGTGAACACCAGGAACATGCATGGTTTCATCAACCTCTGGTCATGCCAGACCAACCTTCTTCCTTTATTTTATTTTACTTAATTTATTTACAGAGATACTAGACTGGTAGATCAGGAAATGTGTAATTGTTGTTCCACTATATTTTAGCAAAGCCATTGACAAAGTAAGTTCTGTTCTCCCTCTAGAGAAAATGGATAGATACTAGCTAAACAATGGTGGATTTAGGTGGAGTTAGAACCAGTTTAATGACCTCCTCAAAGAATAGTCATTCAATTTAAATTTAGAAGAAGGTCATTAGCAAAATAGCTACTGGAATCTCTCCTTGATTCTGTGCTTTGTAACACTGTCAGTGACTTGGATAAGAAATATAGATGGAATACTTATTGGTTTTGCTGATGATGGAAAAGGCAGATAAAAGAGCCAGTCAGTACCCCTGAGGGTCTTGACAGCCTAGAGGCTGGGTAGAATATAATAAGATAAAATTCAACAGGGATGAACGGAAAGTTTTACTTTTGAGTAAATTTAAAAAAAAATCAACCAAACATGTACAGAATAGGTACAGGAGATGTGGCTAGAAAACATTTTTTTCTATACAATACTTGAGAATTGGAGTGGACTTTAAGTTCAATGTAAGTCAGTAGTGTAATATGGCAACTGATAATTTATTTATAGTGAACGGAGCTTTTCAGGAGATTCATGGTGCCCCAGTCTAGGGAGGTGGTGTACCCTGCCGTGGTCACATGTAGGAATGCAGGATCCCGATACATCATTTTAGGAAGGACATAAATAAGCTGAAGATACTCCAAAGGAAAGCTATGGGGATGGTGAAGGGCCTCTAGATCAATAGTTTACAAAGTGGGGGCCAAGGTCCCTTGGGTGCATGACTTAGGACATTCATGATTAATGTATTGTAGGATGGGAAAATGGTTTTCATCCTAGCCCCCTGATAGCTAGTTGTAGGGTTTGTCCCAACACAACCACAGTAACTCTCGTACACATTATCATCCTTCCCCATTTTGACCCTTCCTGCTACTGGCCTCCCATGGCTGGTACAAACTCCCAACTTTTCCCTTTCTCAGGAATATTATAATATGAAAATGACAGGCATCTACCTGCACACCTATCTGTAACCCTTAGTGTGCCCATATCCTGCTGCCAAGGTGTCTGTGGCAATCCTTAGTGGATTCATGCTTTAGGGCAGTGACTTGTGAATAAGAATCAGCTCTTACTCCCTTTTAATTTTCTGTAGAATAGTAAGAATTGCAGAGGATAGATAGGGAGGCATGAATAAATTGTGATCTGCCTTGTAGATCTCATTGCATTATCTTTCCCCTCAAACTTTCCCCTCTTCTGGATTTCCCCGTTTTTATCAATGGTTACCACCATCCTTCTAGTCATCCAGATCCACAACTTTGGTGTCATCCTCCCTTGCTGTTAGCTCTTCATTCTCATTTGTGCTACACATCCTAGCAATTTGTAAATTTTGTTGTTTCTGTCTTCACAACGTCTCCTATGTTTATCTGTTGTCCTGTTCTCTTTACTCAAAGCCTCCACTTTAGTTTAGGTCCTCCTTACTTCTCATATAGACTATTGTAATAGCCCTGTGACTCGTCCCCTTGTCTCAAGTATCTTCCTTGCCTAATACATCTTCCACATAAATGCGACAAAGTGTTTTTCTTAAAGAGCAGGGACAATGTCACTCCTGTACTCAAGCTCTCTATTAAGATGACTCAGTATCGTTTCATCTTTGTATTATCCTTTTTTAAAATTTCTGATTTTGTGTGTGTGTGTGTGTGTGTGTGTGTGTGTGTGTGTAAGTAGATAATATATATGATTAAGGTGCAATGGAAAGAACACCGACCCTTCCTTTTGAATTGGGAATCATGGGATCTATGTTCAAATGTTATCTCTCATATTAGTTGTGTGACCTTGGCAGACAAGTCACTTAACCTCTCTGGGCTTCAGTTTTTTCGTCTAAAATGGGAGTGGGTAGGTAGGTTGAATTACATGGCTTTTAAATATATTTCCAGCAAGTGATGTGCTGGACGAGTCACTTGTTAAATTTTCAGTGTGAGCATTTACATCTTGGAAATCATAAAGCTCCACAATCAGGGCTTTGTGGTTTTGTTGATTGCCTAGACTTTAGAAAGTAATGGAAAACATTTTAATAATGCAGACTTAATTAAAAGTGTACAATGCATATTTTTTCACCCCTGGGAGCCAGTTGTTAAACATTTACCAATATACCATTGCTTCCTATTCTAAACTAATCTGTGACCAATGGAAATTTGATTCTATGATTCTGGTTTTGCAGAGTGCATGTATATAATTTATAAATCAGTAAATATACATATATTGACAGTGTGTGCTCAAAAATGTTCTACTGTTAGATGTCAGTGATCCAAAATATTTACAAACCACTTTTCCAGATGATGCTATCTATATATGAGGACTGGTTGAAGAAACTGGATTAGGAAAAATAGCAGTATTCGAGGCACAGATTAGACTTTTTCTGCCTGGAAACATGCTAAAACAACTAACAGAACCTCCAAACGTTAGGGCTGTCCCCGTGTGGAATGGGCTGCTTCAGGAGTCAGTGGATTTTCCCTGACGAGGGGTCTCTAAGCAAAGTCTAAATGCCTCTTTATTTGGCTCTGTTGTGGAGGGATTCCTGCCCTGGGACCAGTTGTTCCACGTGGCCTTTGATGTCCTTTCCAATTCCCTTAGATGTTGTGAATTGTCTTCCTAGCCCTTCTCCTCCCCCTCCCCAAATCTTAACTTCAAACTTCTTGGAGGTTTCCTCAATGTGTGTCACAACTTTAATGTAATTTTTAAAATCCTCGTTGGTCCAGACATTGTGTAGAGGCTGACCACAACTCTACGAACTTCTTGGGCCTCAAAGCTTCCGTGGGTCTTTTTCTCTCTCTCTCTTTTCAAAGCACTTTACCGCCATTCATTAGTTATTACTCACAGGCACTGTCATTCCCCTCCCTTTGCAGATTGAGAAACTGAAACCAAGTTTATGAATTGTGCCAAGTTATTTAGGGTTTGCTGAGACAGTGGGCCCCTTCCTTTCTGTTTCTTTATTCAAGGGTCCATGTAGCATTTCCCTACTTTTTCTTCTGAACTGCAGTCATTAGGATTTCTTTGTCTGGAAAACTTTCTGATCCAGGGAATTTTCCATCCTTCCAGCCCTAGCTATGAGCATGTGGCAAGAGAATGTCATCAGGGACTTTTCCATACTCATTGATTACTGTTGATCCCCTCATAGTAGTGCTTGAGGTCTGTCCAGAGTGGGAGCCAAGGGGAGTGGTTTCTTTGGGTGGCTTTAATTTCACCTCCCGACATCTCAGTAGATGCCAAGGGAGAACTCCTCTGACTTTTTCCTCTTTCCTTTCTCTCATCTTCCATCTGCTTCCTTACCCCATTCCCCCACGGAAGGGAGGAGGTGTGAGAGGAAGGAAGAAGGAGACTTTTCAGTTTTTCCCCCTACTAGTCTGAACCACTACTAGAAGGGCTTCCTCTTCAACCCAGAAGAAGAGTGTCACTCTTGGTCAGAGGGGGAATAAAGTGAAGGGTATCCTGCCTCTTCTCTGTCCAATTCTGGCCAAACCCAGAGCCGGCTTCTTTGTCATTTCTTGAATCTCTTTAAAGGAAAAATGAGGCTCATAAAGGCTTTCCCTCTTTTTACTGGAAGCAGGGATAAGGATATTATTGCCTCCTTTTATGATCTTCATGATTTAAAGCTATAATTGAAAGAGGTTTTTTGTTTTGGTTTTTTCATTTTTTTCATTTTAAAATTGTATGGATGAGAGAATTATAAAGAGGTATAGACAAGTAGCAATCACTTACGCCCATTGTTTTTATTAAGAAAGCCTTTGGTGAGAATTAAGGAAATATAAATCATCATTCTTTTTCTTTATGTGTAGGGGGAGCTTTTGTAGCAAGTTGTCTGTAAGAACTCAGTGAAGTGAAGCTGATATAAACAATTGTTTTTGTTTTTTTTCCCATAAAACTGAGAAACTAAGGCAAGAAGAAAAGGGACTTGCCTAGAGGGTGACAGAATGAATCAGAGCCCACTCTTCTGAACTATGGCCTTAGACTTTTGCTTAGTCCACTCAGCTCTATTTCATTTAATGGAAAAATAATGGCAATTTTGTCTTCTGGAAAAGTGTAGTTGGCTGAATATTGTTTAAGGATTTTCCTGTATTTATTTCAACATTTTCTTTAGCTTTGATGGTCACTGATGGCCAGAATGACACACAGCAGTTGAGCATTAATCATTCCCACATGTGGTATACTGTAATGAATTGGGTTTTTTAAATAACTGAGCCATTACCCCTGTTTTGATAGCATGTTTTTGGAAAAGGCTAGAGGGAATTGTTTATATATGATGGAAATAAGGTTTTGATGAATGTGTTTACCCATTCTTTCAGATGAGAGCTGATAGCAACCCCTCACTTTTTTTTTCTCCCCTTAACAAACTGAATTAAAAATTCTTATTTAGCACAACCGTCACTATTAGTTCCTTCAGCGGTACTTCAGTGAATGAATCAGAGAAATCTAAAGCTGGAAGGGACTTGGTCCAAGTCTTTCCTTGAGACAGGTAAGTAACTAAAGCACCTAGAATACTTAATCCATTCTCTTCCTGAAAATATCCTAGAAGAAATGCTTAAAATTCTGTCCCATGAAACTTTCTGTTTCCTTTAATCACCTCAAATGATAGCTCTTTGTGTGTTTCATTAAAATCTCTTCTGTTTTGGCTTAAGCTCATTTCCTCCATGGTCTTCTGTGGACATGGGCATTGGCTCAGTTTTTTTCTTTATTTTTCTTTTGTCTTTTGTTGACTTACAAGACTCAGACATTTGAGATAGAGATATGGGTTTTAATGGAAGAGGGTCAGTTTCAAGATGTTTGTTAAAGAAGCCAGGTGGTGTTCTGTTCTAAACAGCTTACACTGTGAGGCGTCTTGGGCTATGTGAAACAGTCATGAAAATAAGTACTGATCCAAATCCTAAACGAAATTAGAATGGGTCTCAGGAGAATTGCCATTTCTTTTTTGTGGGAATCTTTTTTTGGGGGGCGGAGTGGTGGCAGAAGAATGATCACAGAGTCTATCCAAATCAGATATAAACTGTCGTGGTTTCTCTAAATTTGTGTATGAAAAGCAGGGGTTGTGTGGAGGATGTTGTACCCAGTTGCTGGGGACAAGGTCAGTTTTGTGGATCAAATATAAGTTTTATAATCTGATGATTTTTTGGCCTTTCTGAGGCTATTTTAAAACCTTTTAATTCACATTTGAATTGTTTCTTAAAGCATTTCTTTATTTTTTCCCCTGTGAAATAGTTATTGTTGTTTTAATTGTATTTTGGTTGCCTGGTTTTGGGGTGTGTGTGTGTGTGTGTGTGTGTGTGTGTGTGTGTGTGTGTGCGCGTGCGCACGCCTTTTTAAAGTTTAGAATGCCTTAGGTTAAAAAGTTAAATTCAGTTTATAGGTGATATATGCATGTATACACACACACATACGCATGCACACATATATACCTATGTGTGTGTGTATGTATACACACACTAGGAAAAAGGGAAGTCCCTAATGTACGGCAAGTTCTTTATTTTTATTTATGTAAATTATTTTCTCTGTTCTTTCTTTTCATTGTGTTATAGGTTAAAAATCTTTTATTGTATGAAGCCCAAGGCTTAAGTTGGGGGGTGAGAATGAGGTACTGCTATTAAAAACTTTGCTTTTTCTATAGCTTCCTTAAGATACCTCTCCATCTGTGAAATTGGAGCAATAGGGATTAAGAAAAGTTTGATATTCAACTTTTAGGGTTGGTCTGAGCATGTGCAAAGCAGAAGTTTCACTCTGCCCTCTTGTGGTAATGTGGCTTCACTGCAACCACTAGGAAATGAAAATTAAACATTTATTATTATAGAGAGAACCAATTTTCATTTCCACTGTGTGTTTAGTCTTTGGTGTTTAATTTTTATAATGAGTTCATAATTATAAAGTGCTTAGCACAGTGCCTGGGACATCGTAAGCACTTTAGAAATGTTAGCTGCTATTATTATTATTATCAGTCTTAGAAAAGTCATAATCTTAGAAAATAGTGCATTTACTTTTCCATTTCTTATGTTTTTAAAATCTTCACCACCAACTCTAGGGTAGATAGGTATATCCAGTATAGGTATATAGAGAAGATGTTATTATCCCTATATAAGGATGGTGAATTGAAACACAGAGAGGTAATGATTTAATAGTGATTAACAGTTAGAAGCAGAGCTAGAACTAGACTAAGTCCTTACCATGCCATGGCAGTGTCCTTCTCATTGTTATCCTGTAGTCTTTCCCTTTCTATTTTATGTTACCTATTTGTTGTTCTTACATTGCTTGTCGATTTCAAATGGGTTACTGTATGAGGATTATTAGCTAGCAGAGAATTCATAAAGGATTCTTACCATTTCTACCAAATGCTAGTCGACATTAAGAAAGCTATTAAGAAACAGACATTGTAATATATGGTAGTATTTTTTCCCACGGAATCTTTGCTGAGATCATGTGCCCAAAACGTAATTTGGAAGATCTCTTTCTAGGGTGAATGGTAAAGTTGTTCTTTTAAATGCATTTGACATAGGTCATAGCCTTTAAGAGTGGAAGTTGTGATCTTGTGATTGAGGAAGAATTGTAGCTTGCTTAATTCATGATATCATCTGTAGTGATTATTTTGATTACTAGGTTTGGCATTTATCATTAATGGCAAATTAATAATATATATTGTTATTGAAATATTTATTGTATTGAAATAAAACAGTTGAAGAAGAAATACCTTTATAACCAATCCTCCATTCCAGTAGTAATTGTGACTTTGAATTTTTTTGTTGTTGTAATTGTTACATCCTTAAATTCTTAAGTTAATTAATTACCAAGAGAAGAATCTTTAAGCCAAAGCATTTACTTCCTTTCACAACGGAAGAAAATATTAAGCAGAAGAACAGTGACTTCATCATTCCTGAGAAGGCAGGGAGGAAGGTGTGAATTAGCAAGTCTGAAGGGGACAGGTCAGCTTTGGGTTGGTCCCTTGTGTTAGCTTGGGAGGTGACATATTCTATTTCCAGCCCATAGTGAGTAGGGAAGCTGGACATAGTTATGGAGTTACAATGTCATTCTTATTTGTCCATATATAGTAACTAGGTGATACAGTGGAGAGAGTGCCAAGCCTGGAGTCAGGAAGACCTGAGTTCAAATCTAGCCTCAGACCCTAGCTGTATGACTCTGGGGAAGTCATTTCACCTCTGTTTGCCTCAATTTCCTCATCAATAAAATGGGGATAATAATAGTCCCTTCATTCCAGGGTTGTTGTGAGGATCAAATGAGATATTTGTAAAGTGCTTAGTCTACACATGGTAACCATTATTTAAATGTTAGCTATTATCATCATTATTATTAGTTATAATGTCATATTATTTTTATACTGCATTGTATACTACAGAACATTAGAGCCCCATAGCTTTTCTAGCTTTTATTTTTTATTTATATCTTTGGTTTTTATATGATTTTTATTTCTGAATATAGCTCTTCTACCAGTAAACAATCTCTCATAGCAACAAAATTTGAAAGGAAGAGAAAAAAAACCAGTTCAATAAAAGTAACCAACCCATGAGTTAGACCATATTTGCAAAGTTTTACGGCTGAAGTCCTTTCACCTTTCCAACGAATGGAAGAGAGTATATTTTCTTATCTCTTCTTCAAGGACAAGCCCATTCACTATGATTATGGAGCATTTAAGGTTTTTTTTTGTGTGTATTATTTCTATTTACATTGTCATCATTGCGTAGAAATATTGCTTTTCCTTGATTCTACATATTTCGCTCACTGTCAGTTCATCTAAATCTTCCCATTCATATTCATCATTTCTTGTGATAGAATAATATTCCATGATATTTATATATTACATTTTAAAAAAGTTTTACCCATGTGTTTTTTTATATTATAATCACGTAGTTACTCCCTCATCGAGAAAAGTTTCTTTATAACAAAATAAAACAGTTAAATAAAACTAGTAATACACTGAGTTTATCTGAAAGTTCATGCAATATTTCACATCTATAATAACCCCCCTTCATTATTTGAAAAATTAACAGAAATTTGTTGTTTCTCCCACCCCTCACCCTTTTGGAAAAAAAAGAAATTTCTTGTAACAAATATGCATAGTAAAGTTAAACAAATTCCCTCGATGGTTGTATACAAAAATATGTCTAAATATGTACCATAAATCCATCATTGCTATGTAATGGATGACATGTTTCATTATTGTCAGTCCTTATTGATCATAGTTCTTACAGCTTTCAAAGTTGTTTGTTTTTAAGTGTTGTTATTATATAAATTGTTTTCTTGTTCTGCTTATTTCATTCTTCGTAAGTTTATGGAACCCTCAAAATTATTCATTTTTGTAATATTGATGTTATAATGCAGATTGTTCTTCTAGTTCTATTTCCTTCACTCTACATCAGTGTATATGAATCTGTCACATTCATGTACCACAACTTATTTAGCTATTCTTTAATTGATGGGCATCCCTTTAGTTTTTGGTTTTGTTACCGCCATAAAAGATGCTGCTATGAATATTTTTGTAAATAAAAGACTTTTTCCTTTTTTTGATCTCTTTTGGGCAGAGGCTTGGCAGAGATATAGCTGGGTCAAAGGGGATATACAAAGTTTAGTAATTTTTTGTGTATAATTCCAAAGTGCCTCCCATAATGGTTGTGTCCATTCACGGATCCCTCAGCATTGATGTGTCTGTTTTCTCACAGCCCCTCCAATATTTATCATTTTTTTTTGCCACGCGGATGGAGATGAGGTAGAATCTCAGAATTGCTTTAATTTGCATTTCTCTTACTAGTAGAAATTTGGAACATTTAAAAATTTCATAGTTAGCTTGGGGTTCTTTTCCTTGAGAAGTGTCTTTCTGTATGTTTAAACTATTTACCAATTGGGGAATGGCTCCTCTTATAAATTTGAATAAGTTCCATATATAGCTTAGAAATAACATTTTATCACAGAAACTTGCTGTAGAGAAGCTGCCCGAAAATTTATTTCCTTTTAATCTTAGGTTTATTAAATATTTGTGCAAAAAGTTTTAAATTTTATCTAGTCAAAATTATCCATTTTTTCCTCTTGTAATCCTCTCTATCTTGTTTGGTCATAAACTTTTCTCCTATCTATAGATCCAATATGTAATTCTTTCCATGTTTCTTTTGTTTGTATATGATATGATATTTTATGTCTAGATTCTGTGCCCACTTGGAGCTTATCTTTGTATAAGATATGAAGTGTTGGTCAAAATCTAATTTCTTCCATACTTACTGTCTAATCTTCCTGCAGTTTTTGTGAATTTGTGAGTCCCTATTTTAGTGGCTGAGGTTTTTGTGTTTATTGAATACTAGGTTAGTAGATATATTTGTTTCTGTATGATGTACGCCTAATCAGTTCCACTGATAGATCCCTCTATTTTAAACCAGTACCAATTGTTTTTAATAATTACTGCATTGTAGTGTAGAAATCTAGTGCTGTAAGGATACCTTCATTTTAATTTCTTTTTATTATCTTTTT